AAACCTTGCCACGCAAACCCAACACACAAGCTAATAAAAATTTAGTTTAAACAATGGAGTGAAACCCTCCGTAATTGTATTTACCATAAGCTCCACCATGTCTCTATTCATAGCTATTTGCTGAAATTGCAGAATTGTCATGGGGGTTTTCCTTGGGGGCTGAGAAGGTGAGAGAAACACCTCTGCACCTCATGAAGAAGAAGGTACCTGTGTGTGATACTCTGGACATACCTGGTTGGGTCTTAGAGATGTGCAAGCCCCACTGAAAACCATTTCCATCGAAATGTTACTTGAGGGCTGAAGAGAAGATCTTGCATTGGCCCTGTAGCTTGTGGGATAACTAGGGAACCCCTTGTGAAGTGTCACCGCTGACGTTCGGCACCAGTTGTGGAGAGAAAAGCTGGTTAAACAAGAAGTGCGAGAATTGCAGCCCTTGGTGGGTTTTAAACGTCTGTGTGTGTTTTTTTTGGGATCCCTGAAGGCATCGAAATGCATTCTGGAAGAAGAAAGGCTTCTGCCTGGTTTTATGTTAGAAATTTCAATTCAGCAATGGTGTTTCACCAGCAAGGGTCCTGTGATGTCCACCAAAGTGAGTCTGAAAAGCAAGGACAACTGAAAGCTGTCAGGAAAAGTAGTTTATTTTTTTAATGTAAACCAAATAGGTGGCTCCTTGGTCATGTATAGGTTCCTTTATACTGCAATAGGTAAATAGCATTTACCTTAAGAGCATTGTAAATTCCCCTGGTGCTGAAGGCTTCCCCTTTCACGGTCCCAACGCTGGATGAAATCTCTCTCAGCGATGCTGATTGCTGATGGGTGCTTTGCTGCTGATCTCCAGATTTCCCTCCAAGTCTTTCGTATGCACAGGGACTAATTAGTCTCCTTAGCTGTGCCCAGTTTGTAAATAGTGTCTTGAAGTGGTGAGAAATGGGATTTTTGATAGTGCACTGAGTAATGTGGTAGGTACAGAAGCTCTTGGTAGGGTAGCGCTGGAATAATTTCCCTGCCAATTACAGGAGGAACAAACTGCAGCTTTATGGCCAGAGTCTGTCTGGAGGTGCACATTTCTTTTATGCTGTGTCTTGCAGGAAAGCATAATTTACACCTAAATGTGCACATTTCTCTTTTTTCATCTTCATGCCTTGGAAGTACGAGATGTTTTTGTTTTGTTGTCCGGGAGCTTTTACTGGTTGTCAAAGCCATCTTTCTGAAAGCATAATAATTTCAGCATGTTATTATTTTATGGGCACAAGGCCCCTTTAGAAATACATGGTGTTATGGAAGCTGCTGTTTGATCCATGAAACAAGCCCAAAAAACCCCTCAAACATCAGAAGATCGATCCCGAGAGGTGCAAAGTGCCCAACTAGCTCAGGATGTGCCAGAGCTACTCTCCGGCTTTGCTTTTTTTTTGGATGAGCAAGAATCAGTTTTGTAACCCAAAATGTACCACTTTCCATCTTGGCAGATACAGAGGAATTAGATTTGATTTTATTTTATAAAGAACCTGAATAGCAGTGTTTGGCCAGGATTTCTGTCATTAGCTGTAGCTCTTGAAACGTTTTTGTTGGCCAACAAAAATCTAAGCCTTGGGGATGTCTAAAATCCTAATGTTCCTCCTCAAAGTGGTGGAAGACTTTGGGGAAATTCCCCTTTGATTTCTGGAGAGCCCAATACATTTAATCCCTGTGAAATTGCCTTTATTATGAAGGAGAGCACGACCGAAGGTGTTAGAAAAGGTGGCTGGAATTAAACAAGGAGAAAATCAAGGTAATGTTTTGAAAGAACTGCTTTGCTTAGTGCTCGCCTGACATGGTCCTGGCTCAAATCACTGGAAAAGCACTGGGGGGGACATGAGCATCCTCTGAAACAGCAGAAACCAGAGAGAAAAGTGGTTTTTAAAAAAAATACAATTAAAAATCCCTAACAGCTTACTGCCAACGTGCATGGTTTCAGCATTGCGTTTGGGCAAAAAGGAGCCCATGGTAGCAAAGCGAGGTTTGAGGGTAACTGCTTGCCTTGTGCTGTGCTGAATGGTTGAGGCTCTTCTATTTCTTATTTTTTATTCTTATTTTCTGTATTTCCCCTTCGACTTCCTCCAAGCTAAGTCTGTTCACCAATCCTCTGTTCACAGATCCCTGGAGAAGTCATTAACACCCTGTGTGGATACAGGACACTCGATAAAGAGGTAACGTTGGCTTTTTCCTTTGTACGTACATCATTTTCTTCTCCTTCCCCAAGCCCCCTAAAAAGACCCAATTATTTGCAGGTAAGCTCTTCCCCACCAAGGATTACTGTTACTGCAACTGTATATAAATTCATTTTTAGTGTTTTTCCCTGACATCCTGGGGTGTTGCTCAGCCTCGCAGAGTGCGAGCGGGCTCGTGGCATATTTGGGTAGTCCCTGTAGGCTTTGGCATGGCCTTGCTGGATCAGCCCCAGGAAATGCTGGTCCTGAGTTGTTTTTTGAGGTTTGGTGGTAGGAGAGAAGCTGATTTTGAGGCCTTCAGGGGTGACCGCAGGACTGGATCACAGCAGAGAGCTGCAGTATCTCCGTGCATATGGTCCATAGCTCCCAGGGACAAGAAACCCCAGCAAAAGGTCCAGTCCAAGAAATCAATTCCCAAACACTTCTCATGCAGCTCCTTTGACTTGCAAGAAGGAGCAAACACAAGAAATAACATCTCTCCCCCAAACCTAACATGTCAATGAAAACCGTGATGCCTCTCTTCACTCTTCTTCCAGCGCCTGGAGCTGCTCAACGTCATCCACGTGCGAGGCTGCATCCATGCCGTCGGGCTCTGGCTCAAAGACAACTTTGAGGCCACTTTGGGCATCGTTTGCTCACTGCTGCTTCCACAGGTACGTGGTAGATCCGCTCGGCGTCCTCTCGGCTTCATTCACTGTGCTGGAAGAGGAAAATAAATCATTTTTAGTTATTTTTTCCCCTCCATTTACATCTGAGATTTGTGTCTTGGGCAGCAAACATCACAGCGCTTTCCAGAGCATCCTTACCAAAATTAACGGTTTGCAACTGCGGTGCTGGCTGTCTCATAACACACTCGTGAAATCTAATTATTGATCGAGTAATAACATCTAAAAGCAAAATATATGTTAATATGTTAGCACAGCAAAACCTTTTATATTTGTTTTTACTGCTCTTTTCAAATAGAGCATAAATATTAACCAAAATAAACCATAATCATAAATTTAGCAGGATTTGCCATGCTTCACGGAATCCATTTCCCGTTAATGATGTCTGAGGATCCGAGCAACTTTCCAGCACAGGTAATTAAGCTTTTCATCGCAGATGCTCCATACGGAGAGAATTTTTGGGTTGCAGCTGGGGCCATCCCTTTGCACCACTGTTGACACTGTGCTGGCAAGATGGTGAATATCTCTCTCAGATTTTTCCAGAATTATTTTTGACAGAGCTTTGATGATTTAGTGTTGATTTGATCCTATTTTTTTTTATTCCTTTTGAGGCTCACAAGCAAAAGCTTTCTTTTTGTCTCATTGAATGTTGGGTTTACCACTGGAGGTATTTGGTGATGCTTTCCAGATATGGGGTTTTATCTAAATAGGAATGATTTTTTTTTTTTCTGTGTTTCCATTTGCAGTAAAAGGTAGAATAGTGGTTGAATAAAGCAGAAGCTGTTGGGGAAATATGTGGTGTGTTGAGCTAATTTTTCAAAGAATGGACTTTTCTCTTGAGCTCTCAGATGGTCCAAATGAAAAACCAAGGCGGGGGAGCGGTTAGTGCCTGATCCTAGCTGTGATGCTCCACGTTTCTAAAGTGCTTTCTCCAAAGTACGCAGATGAGCAATGGACTTCTGCTGTGCTACCACCAGGAAATGTAACGGGCACAGAAATGGGGTGAGAAAGTGCCGTAATAGAGGCAACCACTTCCCTCTGCCTTGCAGGATGTCAAGAGTCCATTACAGGAGCTGCCTGTTGCGTTATCCATTAACCTGCCAACATGATGCTCTTAATTGGGAAGGATGGGGAAAAAAACCAGAGATGGCAATAAGGATTGCTGAGCCTTGATGAATATCAAGTGCTTTTGAGCAAGTGTTGTGATTTTTCTGGCGTGCCATTAAATGCTCTTCAGATGAGGAACCTCGTTCTTCCCATCTGCTCACAATTTTCAGGTTTTAAATATAAATCGGATTTGATTCTGTCAAGTTTTGGAGGGAATAAAGTTATAAATGGCCATCTGTGTTGCCAGGAGCTGTCAGCCCAGAAACAGGTTCATCCCCAGCAGCTGCCAGCAGAAAGCTGGGGTGAGAATATTGTCCTTGAATTGCCGATCCAGGAGGGGAAGGGTTGGCATCGTTGATGTGGGGAGGTGACAGTGCCTTGAATTTTGGGAAGAGTAGACGTATTGACCTGTCCCATCTTCAGCCCTTGGGACTCCATGGAGCTGCAGACCACCTTGGTGGAAAACTTGCAGGATGCTGGGGAGAAGGTTGGGACCAAAGTCTCGACTCCAGCTTTGGGTTTTGCCCCATTTTCCTCAAAGTGTTGTTCTTCCTTAGGTTCAAACTTCAGCCTTGTCTGTGATGACGAGCAGCTCGAGGGCTCAAAGGGTGGGATGTTCATCATCCAAGAGCCCGAGATTTGTGCTTGGATTTGGGGTTAGCAACCACCTCTTCTTGTGCAGAAAGACGGACCCAGGAAAAGTTTCAACTGACACAGAGCACGCATGAGAGTGGGCAATTATTGCTCTTAGTGTTGTCTTTCCATCATGCTCAGACATGGGAAACCATCAAAATCTGGCTTCCCATCATGTGGGAAGTTATTGAATTTTTAAGTTTTCTCTGCTTTTCCCCAAATATCTGTGCAAGAGGTCAAGGGCACAGGGCGGGCTGCTTGGCTTTACTTCCTTATGCATGCGGGCATCCATCTAGTTGCATTCAGGGAAATCTTTAAATCTGCTGGGTCCTGTTAGGTGTCGAACTGATTGAAGGAGTGAGGAGGCAGGGCAAAATCCTGCCCAGGTATGTCACTGCACGGCAGCCAGCCTTTCCCCTGGCTGGTGCAGGGCAGAGGGAGTTTGTAATTTTGTGATTGCTCTTAAATCATGAATGTCTCTGCTTTTTTTAAGTAAGCCATTGAGCAATGGGAAAATTTGAGGAGTGGGGAAGTGGTTGTGTTCATTTGCCTTACTTCATTCAGAGCGAAGCATAAATGCACCAACTCAATTATTTTTCTGCCTTTGCAGAGTACCTTTAATTCTCTTTTTTTCTTTTTCCTATGTTTCATTCTCCAGTAACAGTCCCGTCTCCTTACCCTTCTTCTCAGCCAAGCTGCAGATCGAGGCCAAACCCTGATGCATTTCATATTGCTCTCAAAAAGACATTTTAATTTAGTCGCTGGCAGTCAACGGCAAATTCACATTGTGGCCTCTTACTGGTTGTGTTTAATTATGAAGCAACTCCAGATCTTTCAGCAGGTGCAGCAAAGCGCATAAATTTGTTTTATACTGGCTGCATCCCTACGTTCCCTGCCTCTAGCAAGATTGCCCAAGGAGTTTACAGCGTGCATAAAATGCGTTCGTAGTTAAAAGAAGCCAAATATCCTCGTGCATCGCTCTTCCCCCTTTGCCAGGCCCAAGTGCTCTTTCAGCAGCTTTTCTATTAACCTCAGGAAAAGCATTTGCAACTTTTCCATTCCCATGTCTTTGCAGAGGAAATTTTCTGATGGTATTTCATCCTCCTTAGCAAGGTGAAGACATAGCCACTGTAATAAGGTAGAAACAATTCCACAAAAAAGCTCTTCAACCCCTTTTTCTCCATCCAAAAGAAGCAGAAAGTGGCATAAGTCCAATTAAAATGAAAAAAATCTCTGAAAGGTCATTGCCAAGGGTTAATATTTATCGACCCTGCGGCGCAGTCGACTCGCAGTAAATTGTTGCTACCTCTGTTTCGCTTTGCTATTTCATCAATCTACAAAGCTCTACACTGGGAGCAGCTACAGAGTAATAGGGCATCAGCGTAGAGGTGGATGTTCCCTCCTAAGAGTATAAAAACAGAAGATCAGCTATTTCAGTCCTCGAAAATGCAGCATTTGACTTGCAACAGGCATTTTGCAGGTTGGCATCTTCATCTCTCAGTGACAGTAATGTTAAATGTTTCCTTGTGTAAAGGGGTTTGTATTGTCAAAGGTCGCTTTTTCTTTGCAAGATTAATTTGTATTTTGTTTGCTTTTTAATATCTTAAGTTGCTCCAGGGGCTGGAAGGCGGTATATTCTCAAGCGGCTGATATGTGCTTAATGTGGTAGAAAAGGGGAATAGAAGGGATTTTTTCCATCCGCAGTCCATGACCTCTATGAGAGCTTGGTCTATAAATACTAATTTATGGAAGGAAAAGCCAATAAAAGATAAATGCTTGCCTTTTACTTGATTAGCTCTGGGAAAGCTTGAAATTATTCAACTCTTCTGTTTAGCATGATCCAGCTTTACAGCCGCCCAAATGGGCAAAGAACTGCAGAGCCGGGCACATGCCTGCACTGCAGCTGGTGAGGTTTGCACGGAAAAGGGTTTTTCTGCAGAAAGTTTTGCTTGCAGAAGACCCTCGTTGGGCCAATGGATTATCTTCTCCGTGGCCAGAGTTGCTTTTGTCAGGACTGTGATGCAGCGGGGTGCGGTTAATCATGCTGTCGCCCTGCAAGGGCTCTTGAGCATCGTTTTGTTGCTATTTTGCATCCTTAATCTTTGCCCTTGTTAAGCAAAAGCGAAATTGAGCCTTGCATGTTTGATTGCCCAGGAAAATGCGACTGGAGGAGCTGAGCTTCTTTTGAATGCTCTACAAGGGCCCAAAATGCACGCTTTCCACCCCGAATCGAGGCACCGATCACATGCACATGCACACGTGCATACACACACCCCTAAGGGAAAACAGCTGTGGTTTTCCAGACCTTTTTCTTCTTGTATAATAATGGGAAAATGAGCATTTGAGCCCTTTCCTTCTTTGCTTCCAAAAATGTTCCTGACTCCGAGCGTGCTTCCTTTTGCCAGACGAGCCGTCAATCAATGAGTACTTCCCAGTAAGGAGGAGATAACAATTAGATCTTGGGCATATCAGCCCCATTGAGATCTATTCCTAATGCAAAACCGTTTAATCCAAAAGAACAAGTGGAGCCGCTACGAGACAATGAGCAAAGCTGGAGCTGGAATGGAGCTGGGCACCAAAGAACCTCGTAATAAATTTTACAGCACGTACGTGGGAGACAGAAATACGTGGCTTATGTCTAGCAGAAGGCTCTGTGCTGCGCCAGAACCACAGAAACTGGAGCGTAGCCTCAAATATTTGTATGTATTTAACTTCCTTAAGTGTTGGAAGAGAAGGAATAACCATTAGTTGCGTTAAACTATCCCAAACTTCCATATTAATCTAATTTTGGTCTTGTGATGTTGGTAGTAAATTGGTAATTAGGATCGATGCTGTCTTGTTTGAAATGGTTTTAAAAAGTCTTTGTTGGCTGCTGTCAGCTCCAAGGGGAAAGAGAGGTTTGGGCTTTGGAGGAGAGGGAAGCGTTGGTCCCAAGAAGGGCAATATTAGTGTTTATCTGAGACGGATCACACTGGAGAACCAGGATGCTTCACTGCCACTACAAAATAAAGAGTGGAGACCAGGTGCTGAAACCACCAGACCATGTTTTTCCAATCTCTTCCGGATAGCTCTTCTAATATAAAGACGACTGTTCATGCCTTGGAGTGATAGCAGTGGATGAAATGAGACGTTTGCTGTGTCAGGAGCAATAACTATTTAATTTTGGGGAACAGCAGCAGGATGGTGTCCTTGCTCAGCCAGACAGACCCACTCCCATAGCTTAATCATGATACAGCACCCAGTTATAATTAACATCACTGTTCTAATAATTCCAAGTTCAGGAACAAAATAATGGGGGTTTTAATTTGCTTTTTGGAGCTTTTCCTGTTTTGCATAGAGCAAATTCAAGGGTCTTCCGATAGCAGAGACTTGCAGATGTCCATGGGAACCTTCTGTGATTAAATGAGCATTTATAATTGGGGTTTAAAATAGAAAAATAATCAGACTGGCTGCGTGTCCCCGCGTGGTTTTGCTGGGGCAGGGAGGTTCCTCTCCCGGGGACTCGCGGGGACAGGAGAAATACAAACGAGGGGGTTGATTAAGCGGCACAGGAGGATATGAAAAGCTGCAAGTGATGAATGATTTTTATTTCCCCATCCTCCCAGGTGGCTTGTAAGCATCGTACAGCCCCTGGGAGTCCGAGACAAAATCCCTGAGGATTTGTGCTTTGGAGAGCTTATTTCTTTTTTTTCTCTCTGATGGAAATAAATTTCCTCTAGCTGGTTGGATGGGAGAATTTATGGCCGGTCCTCACTGACAGCAGACATCCTGCTCACCCTTTTGCTGCTTGAAAATGAAGATGCAGAGATTTCTTACTCTACATTGGATAGGTTTGGGGCAGATTTCAGCTGTGGCTTTCCAGGGGAGTCCCGAGGTGCTGCCGAGAGATGGAGATAAAGGTCTTCAGTCTGCAGTTGGACTTCAGTGCAAAATGCCAGTTTGGATCGGCTTGAGGCCACCGAGCTGCTACTGGAGGAGCTGAAGAGGTGGGAAATGGCAGCAGATATCTGCCCCCTCTTCTGTTTTGCTGGGCATTTTGATATTTAACTTTTTCTTAAAAAAAAAAACAAACAAAAAACCCCAAAAAACCAAAGCAATAGGATATCTCCTTCCTGGTGCAATGTCATGTGATTAGTGGGTTAAAATATAATAATCTGAGTATCCGCGTGGCCATAGTGATTTTTGTTGCTTCTGACAGTGATGCTTTGGTTTTGCAAAGTTTTCCTTCTTGATTCGTGCTCAAGGTGGCCAGGGCGCAGAGGGCGAGGTGGGCAGCATGTGTGTGCAAAGGGAAGGGTGCAGGAAAGATATACCTGTGCGAGCCTTTACACGCTCCCTCCCGCAGTGTCTGGACGGGAATTGAGACAATAATTCCCAAATCATGTCATCTGCAGGGTGGTTTTTTCCATAGCTGTCACCGCAGGGGATCCCTGACTCTGGGTGCAACCAAACTACAATTAGCATTATCAATGCAAATTCCAATATATATATTGCAATTGCTATTGCAATATCATTGCAAAAATTATATACATATATAAAAATAATATTGTGGCTTTCTTGTGGGTCTGCATGCTTTATTGATTTCCTCAACATGCAAAGGTCTTTGGATTTATTTTATGCATGCAGTTGGTCTTGCACACTGTAAGAGCAGCTACTCGATGGCCTTGTACCTGCGTGCAAACCCCGTGCGTTTAAATCCCCCAGCAAAAAGCTCTGAAAGCGGCAGACTAGAGACCTCCCCAGTCAGCAGTGCTTTCTGTACTTCACTGAACACCAGCCAGAAAGAACAGGCAATTTTCCAACTTTAAATGACCCGCAAGCAGTAACTCCCGAGCAGTCCTCCCCTCGCTCAGTGGTGATTACCATCACGAGGGGAGGGAAGTCAGGGAGAAAAGCAGCTTTTTAATTTTTTTAGCCTCATATATGATACATTTTGTTAACGTGCTCCGCTGCAATAACACCTTCCTTCATATTGCGATGCAATAAAATCAGTGCTCACGTTAGAAGTCTCTTTACTTCTGGAAAACATGGTGCCCTTGGTGCTGGGGATATTGAACGCATCTATATTCCTGACAGCTTTTTCTGTTTTCATTAAGTGAAAGAGGATATTTAGAGCTGAGCTGGAATGGAAGTGGGTTCATAACTCAGAGGAGAGCAAAGGCTCTGGGATGCAGGCTGCTGACTTGAGGACTTGGGGTAATTTTATGCCGTTCAAGAAATCCCCAGTTTAACCGGGATGCCACGTCCTGCGTCGCATTGCCGTCAGGAGGAGAGGACCAGGAGGGATGATGTCCCCGAACCAAGCTGGGTTTGCAGAATTGGATTCATTTGCATTAAATTTATTGTAAACACAAATCTTTTCTGAATTACTGTTTGGTTTAGGAAGGAAAAAAATGACATGCTTGCCTTAAAATTTGTCATTTCAAAGGGTTTTGCTTCTTGGTCCTTTCACTGGATCAGCAGTGGGATTTTAATCTGCTAATAGAAGTAAATAATGCTAAAGCTTGACATACATTTCAATATTATTTAAAAAGTTTTTAAATCCTTAAAGGCTCTGCTGTTGAATATGGATTAGCACAATCTTATTATCCAGATCCACATGGGACGGGTTGCTCTGGGCTCTCCCTGCAGTTCACGGAGAGACGGAGCCATCTCCAAGCATCGGCCAACCAGCCTCGGCCTCCCGCACGGTTTGAGTCGAAGATGAACGCTGTCTCCGTACACAGGCTGAAATCATTTCGTAGAGTAGCTGGGAAGGAGTTGCCTGCTGAGACAGATATATAATATCCAGCGCAGCAGTGAATATTTTGAGGGCAGCGGGGAGCTACGCAGATACGTGCATGAAGGTTACCGGGGCTGTCAGGTTACCTGATTTCGGGCCATTTGGAAAACAAAAGGAGATGCCAAGATGGTTCCAGACTTCAATGTTTCTTTCAGCATCTTCAGTTGTCTTTCCCAGCAAAGAACCTTCAAGGCACGAATCCAGCATTTCTGTAATTCCCACAATCAGGAAAGCCCTGCTAGCCATAACCACGCCACAGCCTCCGGCACCTCTGTTTGTTCTTTCGGTGATTAATCCTGTTATCAATAATTAGGTGGAACGTCAAATAAGCGGGATGCTCTTTGAGGATCAGTGGGTGCAATTAGGAAAGCAGGAACGGGGCAAGCTCCAACTGAGGATTGCAGGGAAGGACTGTCTGTGTTGGGAGAGCATCTCAAGGGACATGGTCTTCCGCTTCTCCCCACTTGTTGAAGGAAGAGCTGTCGATCCGCAGGGTCCCCTTGGGATCCACCTTCAGGTCAATTTGGGAGGGAAAAATAAATATTGAGCTGTTTTGAGGCAGCTTCTGTGCAAGGCGCAAGCTGCTCGTGCGGATGGCGGGGTATTTTTCCATCTCTGAAAGGCAAATAAATAAAGCCCGGTGATGGTTGTGTTTGCCTGTTTGCTTTCAGCTCGCTGGGTGACACTTATCTGATTTGCTTTTTCCCTGTGGAGTTTTTGCCTCCATTTTCTGCAGCCTCCTTTGGGCAAATGCTTTTCCCTTTCCACCACGGGATAAAATGGTCCCTAATTTAAGATGCGTTACAACCCTTTGCTCTTAGCCCCATTTATCTTTCTCTTAACATTCCCACTTTCCAGACTATTTAACAGATTGATTAGGACCCAGAGAAATGATTAATAACATTTTTCATCTCTAAAACCAATGCGCCGCAGTAGTGCAGGAGATTCCAGCTGATGGATGGTACAGGTGCAAATTATTTATTGACTCTTTGTTGCAAGGAATGGTTATGCAGAAAAACGTGTTAACTACTGCCTGGAAAATGAGAGAAAAAGCCCTGAGGCTTCAGATGATCTCATCCTTCTCCATCCTATTCCGTGCATGGACGTCATCAGCGTCCGGTCTGCAAATAGCTCCTCATGACGGCTTATCGCCTAATCCGCACCCTCACTGGCATCTTGTTTGTAGCTACCGCAAGGTGTCCTGCAAAGGAAACGTCAGGTGAAATCAAATCAATGTGCTTGAAATCTTGCCACTGATGAAAATGCTTTTATTTTTTTTCCCCTCATTTCTCCTAAAGATTTAAAGTGTATTTTTTATTCCCTGCCAGCCAGCAGGGAAATGGGAAATAACCTGTGTAGCACCACGCTCGCAGCAATGTCTCGATTTTAGCAAGACCTCTGCCGCTCTCTTTGCGATGTTCGTGGCGACGTCCAACTGATCTGCGTCCCACTGTCAGGGCTGATGTGGGAAGTCGTGAGAGGCCATTAAAGAGTTTAGCAATTAGCCTGTTGCTTTGGTAGAAGATTTTACTGGATCTTGTCCTCTCTTGTCTCATGGCCAGTTTTGGAGGTTCAGGTGACAGCATCCCTTGCAGGAGAAGACCTTCAGGAAGGGTTTGCATGACTCTAGTGGTTTTAATCATGTTTTGCAGGTGATCGGTCTCGTGATGGCTTGGATGTATTGGCAAAAGCTCAATGAGATCTACTCCAGGCTGGACACTGTTGACTTCAGGATCCTGGAGATGCAGGATTTCAGCTTCGGGGTGGTGGATCTGAGCGGCGCAGGCTGGTGCTGGTGCTTGCCCAAGGAAGGGGGTTACGTTCCCGTCAATGCGGAGGAGGAGGAAGACGAGGAGGAGGAGGAGGAAGGTGCCGTCTGCCACAGCAAAGTGTGAGAAGGTGGAGGACTGAAAGGCAGTTTGGAGCAAAGCTCTTAGGGAGGCAGCAGATGTTGAATGTGGAAATAATGTGATTTATCTTCTCAGGTTCATGAGACCTTTTGGGGGAAACTGTAAAGTAACACTGGAAGGTTATAGAAAATGCGATGCACTGTTCCCCAGGGATGCGATGCACCTGAGTTCCCCAGGGTTCTTTTACTACTTTGGTGTTTTGAAGCATTTGTACATCTCCTTATTGGGGTTTTGGGGGCTTTTTTTTTACACAATAAATGTGACTTCTATTGCGTTTTGCAAAGTTGCTTCCACTCGCTGTACGCTGGTCAGGCTGTCGAGGAGGGAAGTGGCACTGTCGCCATTGCAATTTGGGGTATCTTTATATTATATTTAGCCTTATCTCCTGAAAAATAGTGGCTTTATGGTAGGTCCCCCGGTGTGCCCAGACTCCACAGGCACAGCAGGGCCTTTCCAAAGAGCTTTTCCAGGAATCAAATCCCCAGGGAGTCACAACTTCCACCTCCTGGGGCAAGACAGATGTTTGGGCAAGGCTTGAGCAGGGGCAAAACACCCATTTCTAAAGGTTTCCAGCTCTTCCCCATGAACTGCAGCTTCAGCTTTTTATCTCCACGTACGGAAAAGGAGAGCCCAGCAATTTTTAAGACGAAGACAGCTTTATTGTGGCGACCACTGTGGATGGAGGTAACCCCCCTCTGCTGGAGACCAACCTCTAATGACCAGGAAAGGAATTGCCTTTTATAATATATATAATATATATTTTTTAGCACAACTTAGTGATCAAGGTAGCAATTCCCTCCTGCTTCACTCAAAATATAGGAATTAAATAGTAGGCGTGTGTTGCATCCAACCCTGGACCAGTAAGTTGAGCCGTGTTGGGAAATGCACTTGCAGAGGGGAAACCTCAAGCAAGATAAATTGCAAAAATACAAATGTGTTTTTATTTTGAAAAAACCCCAGTGGAACCCTCTGCAAAGCTCCCTGGGCTGCTCTGGTGTGGGCTCAGCAATAACCGACCGATGGCAAAGCTTTCCCCAGCAGCCACAAGTCAAACGCAGCGGAGGGAGCGGCGATCAGGGACCTGTTTTCCCTCCGAACGTACCAAAATCCCGCGGGTACCCCAGGGTGGTTGTAGTTGCTGCATCAAGCGAGCAAGAGGAATCACCTCAAAAGCGAAATGCAAAGGAAAAAAAAAAAAAATCTATTTCGCAAGAGTGTAATGTGTCTGCAGCGCCACTCAGCGAAGAAAACTGGGTTTATTGGTGGCGCTTTTTATTAATAAGGGTATTTTGGAAGCCGGAGGCTGGCTTCATTTATTTGGATGCCCAGGCAGTGAGGAAAGGTGGGAGAGAGCTGGTGTGTGACTGCCGGGCTCTGTCTCCCTCTTCTGACTGTTACTAGGCTATATTTTTTAACGAAATGAGAAATAATCCCCAGCACAGGCCTGGAAAAACACTTTTTAAACTGGGTTTTTTCCCGCAAATCACATTGAAAATGGAACTGTGAACTGCAAGAGCTGAGCAGTGGGGTTATTCAATTTTTTTTAAAACAGTATGGCCAAAATTGGGTGGGTTTGGGGTTTTTTTGCAAGCAGAGAAGGTAAAACCTGCAGCCCAGGGAAATCGAATGAGCACAATTATTTAAGGAATAACAGGGTCGCTGCCTTCAGCAGAGCAGCTCGCAGGCTCCGGGGGTTTTGCTTTTCTTCCTTCTTCCCCCTCTCTCCAAGAGATGTTTAGTAAAACCTTAAGAAATACAAGCTGATAAATTCAACCTGCTCTTTGTGTTTCCATGTATTTGGAGAAAGAAAATGAATTTCTATTCTTTTCATGACAGGATGAGCAGCCACCAACATCTTTATATCAGTTTTCCTGGCTGGGCAGAGCCCACTGTGGCTGGACGTTAAACGGGTCGGATGCCAGCAGGTTTTCCTGCCTGGATTAATACTGTTTTACAGCAGGCGGTGAACGACGAGAGATGGGGAGAAGTCGATTTGTGCATCAGCTTGGGCACCTGGCTTCCCTATTCCCACAGAGAGCTGGTCTGCAAATGCCTGGAAAACAGGAACGGTAGATTCAAGCAAGAGCGTAAAATCAGAAGTACACTTTGGAAAAGCTTTTCTCCGTGCTTAGAAACCTGCCTCATAACTCTAAATAAAAGGGATGCCAATAATATTCCCTAACTCACCCTAAATTTTGCATCTTGAAATCACTCCTGCCTTGCTCCAGAGCTGTCCCTACTATACACGGAAGCGCAAATCTAATAAAACAGGAGCTGGGGAGAAAATGGGAGCAGGGATACGGTATCAAACAGGTTTTGCTTTGCTTCTGCTGAGAGTCCGGGTTGTGCCATCGAATAATCTCCCCAGAGGTGAGAGAAAAGCCCCGTTATGCAGTGACCTTAAAGCACAAAGTCAGATTTCCCATTCCTCATTTGTTTTTTTGCTTAATGACGAGGCCAGCTGTGAGGAAGTGCCGGGCTCTGCTTTGATGCAGATTTATTGATACGCCTGTTAAAAGGGTAAGCGGAGGCAAGCAAGCCAGGCGTTAAATAGAAGCGGACAGCTCGGGAAGCAAAGCAGGCGTATTCCTGTGACCAAGAGCATGGGTTTCATGAAATCAAATTTACAGATGTTCAACACGTTAAAAGCAAAATAATTCAGTGTGCAACCCTCATCAAAAACCCCCACCAAACTGTATTTGACAGCCCAGGGGCTGATCCTCTTGTCCCCAGGGGTTTTAGGAGACTTCTCACTGATGGTGATTTTTCTCTCCACTGCCCTGAAGAATTGCCTTCCATTTCTTTTGATCAGATGTACATGATATCACACAGAGCAAAAAAAAATAAAAGCAGTTACCCTCCAAAATCCTTAGCAATCGAGGCAAAACTGATGGAAAAAAAAACCCCAGCAACCCCAGAAAATGTAGATCCTGCAAGTTGGGAATGGACAACTTGAATTTTCCTGCGTCCTAGTGGTCTGATATTTAGAAACCATCACTGCACAAGACCAGGTCTCCACTGGTTTGAATGTCCCATCCTCTCCAGAGGTCTGTTTGCATCCCGTGATGCCTTTCTGCTCCCAAAATCAATCAGTGTCACCCAAAATACATTTTAACCTGGAAGCTACGGAGCGTTTGGCAGTAGGCATCGATATGGTGGTTGCAAGAGCAGCTTTATCTCAAGGCAGTCTGTGTTCCTGCATCCATCGGCGCCCGTGACTTTACTCCGCGGCTCTGTCCTCCGATTTCCAAGCGTTTTTCGGGAGTTCGAGGTGAGTTTATTAACGGTAAAACCTGGTTTTGTGGAACTCAGAGCTGGTGGGGGAGTAGTGGGGTTTAATTGGCAAAGGTAACAGTGCTCTTCTTTTCCTCCCCTTATTTCTAGTGCGCTTATGGTCATGTTTTCCAACAGTTCTACTCTGTGACATGTTTGTGTGCAAGGATTTGGGGGCGGGGGGAGCTTTATATATATAAAATTAGAGGAAAAAAATCCCAGGCTCTATGACTCTCATAAATCAGCCATAATCAATCAGGACCTTTCATTTATCAGTGGATATCTAACAAAGCGTGAGTTTATCAGATGGTGGAGCTCTTGCCAGCCAAGCTAGATTGCAAAAAAAGTCATATTTCTTCGCAATATAGAGCCGTCTGAAGGGTTGTGTATCCCTATCCATCATCTGGGGACCCCGACCTAGCACTGAAGCTCCTGAGGAAATGTCTTGGGGGGGCGGGATTTGTGACACTTCATCTGTTAGAAGGTACCGGGTCATTTTTAAAGCAAAAATATCAAAGCCTGCGGCTGGGTGGGTATTTCACTGTTTCTCCTGCCAGCACCAGCTTCCTAAAATCCTCAGAATTAGCCCCATAATGTTTTTCCCAGGAAGCCGCGGCTTGTGACTCTTGTTATCCCTTAACACACCCAGGTTTGGGGCACAGTTGTCCATCCAGAGGTGTTTGCCCTTAAAATAAATTGGTTCCTGCTCCTGTGCAATAAGTGTTGTGGTCCAAAAAAAAAAAAAAAAAAAATCCCAAATCTGTTAAATCAAGAGGTGTCTTCAAATAGCAACTGGGTTAAGGCTGGAGCCCTATCGGGCTAAAGACGGTCTTTGCCTTGGGGGGAAATGGGTCAATAATTCGGCAACCCAAGCAGAGCCAAGCTGGCCAGCCCTGGATCCTTCCAGCTCTTTAGGTGCACACCCCGTTCGCTTTATATTTTAAATCTATTTGTCTTGAATTGAGATTTTTCTAGCCTAAAATAGATGGATAATGATACGATATTTCCGTGGATGCCAGCAGCCAGAATGGGGGATGCGGGGAGGCTGGCTCTCCGACCACTCTCAAAGTGACTTTGGGAAGCATCGACCAGGCTGCCACAAATAGTAACTGTTCTCCCATCCAAGTCAAGTGTGAAAGGCAATCACTGGAGGTCAGATAATTAGGAGATTAATTAGCATCCATCTCAAAATCCAAAGAAACTCGCAGGGGAAATAAGCCGGCAGGTTTGAAGGAAGGTATCTGGAAGTGGCAGCGTATGTACAGTGTAAAATCTGTGCTTAGGAGATGGGGAAAAACAAACTCTGCTTCTGCAACAGCAGAGTTTTATCCCCTTTTATCTGTGCAGATCCCCTCTGAAAATTAAACAGGTGCTTATTGCCAGCAAGCAGCCCCTCTTAACTGAGGTTGTGTCCATAATCGTACCAGCAAATCTCTGTAATAATCTCTTACGCTTCACTTACACCTTCCTTTGAGCAGCAGAAAATAGAGACTGGAGACGTAACTCCGGTGAAATTTATCTGGATTTTCTTAAATATGGGGAGAGCAGAGGTGGAGCGTGGGCAGGGCTGGCACAGAGCGAGGCAGGGCTGAGAGCTTGCCGAGGTGAGCGAGACGCGGGTGCTTGCAGGAGGTGCCGGAGGTCCCCGGTGCATCCGTAGGGAAGATCTTGGCTCCCTGCTGCATCCCCGGCCGGGAAGGACTCTGTGATTT